ACGCCAAACAGCCTCCTGAGACTACTACCCTCCTCCGCCTCTCCCTCCCTGGGCTAGTCCAGGGGAGATAGCCCCCGTCGAGGGGGTAACACCGCACAAGTCCGCGCCCTTCCACAGCACTGGGTCTAAATTGAAAAGTACTCAAACGGGAAGACCCTGCGGCAACGCAGGGCGATCAAGCCTCCGGAAACCACAGGGGGGGAGGGTAGCCAGCTCGGCGCCCCCCCAATACCGCTCTACCAAGACGGCTGGTTCCCAAGATCCTATCTCACCTAGACGCCGCACCACGAAAAACCCGGTCTCGTACCCTGAAGAACCTAGTCCTGCACCACGCGCGCACCTTCGAGTACGGCCCCCCGAAGCACAGCGCGAGGGGCGGGTGCATACGGCTGGTTAGTCTCATGCACTCCGCCCCCGGGTCAGGCCGCACGGGAAATGACGGCCGGCACGCAACAGCGCTTGTTTGGCGCTCCAACTAGACGGGATCTATGCCCGTTGGTCTCCTAACATGTATGTATGTATGTATGTATGTATGTATGTATGTATGTATGTATGTATGTATGTATGTATGTATGTATGTATGTATGTATGTATGTATGTATGTATGTATGTATGTATGTATGTATGTATGTATGTATGTATGACGTTGATTACACTGTGGGCTGAAAAGCCGGGGGCCCAGGGCCGAAGCACAGCGCGGGGGGCGGGTGCATACGGCTGGTTAGTCTCATGCACTCCGCCCCCGGGTCAGGCCGCACGGGAAACGACGGCCGGCACGCAACAGCGCTTGTTTGGCGCTCCAACTAGACGGGATCTATGCCCGTTGGTCTCCTAACAATAAACGAAGTCGCAACTGGGGGGCTCTTCCTGCCGACCGAACGGACCGAGCATCTCAGAGAGCTCGCTACCAGGACCTGGGCGACCGGGAGCCCGACGAGTCATCCCGGGCTGGGTATGTATGTATGTATGTATGTATGTATGTATGTATGTATGTATGTATGTATGTATGACGTTGATTACACTGTGGGCTGAAAAGCCGGGGGCCCAGGGCCGAAGCACAGCGCGGGGGGCGGGTGCATACGGCTGGTTAGTCTCATGCACTCCGCCCCCGGGTCAGGCCGCACGGGAAACGACGGCCGGCACGCAACAGCGCTTGTTTGGCGCTCCAACTAGACGGGATCTATGCCCGTTGGTCTCCTAACATAAACGAAGTCGCAACTGGGGGGCTCTTCCTGCCGACCGAACGAACCGAGCATCTCAGAGAGCTCGCTACCAGGACTTGGGCGACCGGGAGCCCGACGAGTCTTCCCGGGCTGGGGAGGTCACCAAGCTCAAAAATCCTCACGCAAAAAAGAGCGCAAAGAGCTCACACCACAAGACGCCAAACAGCCTCCTGAGACTACTACCCTCCTCCGCCTCTCCCTCCCTGGGCTAGTCCAGGGGAGATAGCCCCCGTCGAGGGGGTAACACCGCACAAGTCCGCGCCCTTCCACAGCACTGGGTCTAAATTGAAAAGTACTCAAACGGGAAGACCCTGCGGCAACGCAGGGCGATCAAGCCTCCGNGAAACCACAGGGGGGGAGGGTAGCCAGCTCGGCGCCCCCCCAATACCGCTCTACCAAGAACGCTGGTTCCCAAGATCCTATCTCACCTAGACGCCGCACCACGAAAAACCCCGGTCTCGTACCCTGAAGAACTTAGTCTNGCACCACGCGCGCACCTTCGAGTACGGCCCCCCCTTCTGGGTGCCCACCTCCCCCTCATCCGCGCCCTCGCTACGGCCACCTGTTTCCACTCACCACTCCTCAACCCTACATCCTCTTGGTGTACTCTNTACCTCTTCCCCTCCCCCCCCGGCTCTCCCCGCCCTTTCCCCGGTCTCCCCCCCCTCCGCCGGTACGGCTCCCCCAGGCAAATAAACCCTCCCTCCCCCATGTCCCCTTGCGCGGCACCCCCCCAAGCCCCATCCCTGATCCCGCCCCCCTCGCAACCTATCCCCTCAACCTCCCTCTCGACCTCCCTACNCACCCCCACCACCTCAAAACCCCCCTCCGCGCCTCGACACCCTATCCCCTTATCCCCTAAACTCCAGCTCCCGCCGCGTCCGCTTGACCATTAGGTCGTGATGTCCACCGCCTCCGCGCAGCGCAGTGCTCCCCCGACGATTGACAGGATCGGGTGGTGGGGTCCCACTCCGTCCCAGCCCCGCCTTGGGACATTAAGCGCGGTGAAAGAGCGCAAGCGCGCCCAGAAGTCCACTACTGCCCGAGCGCGGGCGTATTCCAGGGGGGTTGCTGCTGCTGTTGCTGCTGCTGCTGCTGCTGCTGTTGCTGCTGCTGTTGCTGCTGCTGTTGCCGTCCCCGGTCCCGCGATGGGCCCCTGCGTTTGATCCTCGAGTACCGGCGCGTTCAGCGGCGGCCCCTCGTGCGGTCTCACTCCGTTGGCCAGGTGAAAGAAGTCCGTTATCCGCCGCTGTTGGGGCCCTTGCGCCTGGATCTGTTGCGCTTGCTCTGGCTGTTCTGTCGCGGGGTTAGCCGCCCTTTCCAGTCGCCTTCCGGCTGCTCGCAGACAACACCTGCCTACCTCCATGGCAGACAGGGCTGCCAGGGCGATCACATCCCAGG